TCATATTTCAGAGCATTGCTTGACAGTATTAAGGGTAACACGTTAATTTAAAAAAAAAAAAAAAATCAGTAATTTTTTGGGTGCAAAATACACTGCACCACAGAAGGGAATAAGTTTTCTCTGGATCTGTCTTTAGATGCGAACTCCTCAAAGCAACAACTCTCCTTCCTATATTTGACAGGAATCCTGCACACAGTGAGCACTCCAGCAGTATCTTCTAGGTTAAAAATTCACAGCAGCTATTTTACTGTGATTCTCAAGTCAGAAATGAAGTAACTCATATTCCTTAACAGGACAGGGTTTTTGCAGTCCCAAGACGAAGCCAGACTGAACACTGCCCACACAGTGGGTACATAAACTATTTCAAAGTACATTATCATAAGGCTCAGGTTTCAAGGAGCACTAGTGCTGTCGCTTCCTTGATTAAAAACAAGCCTCCCGCAGGCCAGTACAGGGAATCACAGAATCGGAACGTCAGGGGTTGGAAGAGACCTCGAAAGATCCCCTAGTCCAATCCTCCTGCCAGAGCAGGAGAATCTGATCTTGCCATTGTGCTGCGGCTGGGAGAGCTCCCAGTCCGCCCCAGTTACACGTGGTAAAGGGATCAACAGGACTGACCAAGATAACCAAGAGTGCACTGAAGTGTCCAGCTGTGCCTTCCAGTTTGTCCGTCCATACCACTCCTTTATAACTCCTCTCTCTTCCTCCTCCCTATTCACACACAGGACTGGTAGGTAACTCCCACTAAAATGGTCAAGGAGCTTCAGGTCTCCCTTCAAGTTCCTTCTGCTGCCGTAATTAGCCATGAAACAGATGCAATCTGGATTTTAAGACACCTGAAGCTGGTTTCATTTGGGAAGAGATTGCTTTACCTTCTCTAAAACAGTTTATAAAATCATAAACCCCATTACATTTAAATGGAAGCATGTGACACCATCGCTCATCTTTGCAGAAACAATACTCTTACCAAAAAAATGAGCTAAAAGACTCATTACAGCTAAAATCACCATCCCTATTGTAAAGGCAAAACCATTTCACAAACTGATTTTTAAAATATCGACCAAAACTTGCCATGGCAGTCAAACACATGTAAGCAGACGAGGATCAACCTCTCAGCTCTGCCTGTCCTGTGACTACAG